CCCCCCCCGCGGCCCTGGCCGGGCGGGCGGGCGCGCTCGGCGGGGGCTGCCCGGCGCTGCGGGCCGCTCTCCGGGCACCTGCTCCACGTGCGCCGCCGGACGGGCGCCAGCGGCCGCCCCCGCCCCCCCTTTGAACAGGCGGCGGGGGGGCTCTTTCCGGGCCCGCGTTAAAGCGCGCGCCCGACGCGTGTGCTTCTCGCCTTGCGCCGGCAGCCCGTCTTACTCCTCTTGTGGAGACCCCAAAGCGGCTCACGCGCTCCGCTTCATCCCCCCAACAACAGCCCTGTAGGGTAGGGTAGGCTGAGCGAAACGCCAGGGTCACCTGCGAGCTGCATAACCAACGGGGGGGGGGCAGGCGAGACCTCCGGGCCCCCCTCCTAGCCGCACCGCAATGGCTCTCGGCTCCTGCCTTTCCCCCCGTGGGCCTGATCCCCCCTGTGGGGCATCTCGTGATTAAGAACTGGGGGTTTTAGCCCTTGCTCAGCCATCCAACTTGCTCAGGGTCAGCGGCAGACTTTCAGCCTACCTCACAGGGTTGTGGTAAGGAGAAAAAGGGGTTGGCCGCCCCTCTGCGTATCCCAGAATGCTCTGCTCGGAGAGACGGGAGCTCACCAGGGTCTTGGGGAGAGAGAGAAGGAGCTTTCCCTTCCATCTACCTGCCCTGAGCCTCTTGACCGCAAACCCCGGGACTCAACGGGGGGCATTTCCCTGCACCTCTGCCATTTATTTCTTCCTTACTGGATGTTTGCTTTTATCATTCATCTCCAGAAGCTAAAACTGCCGCGGAAAATGGACTCGGCGGCTCAAAGCCCCCTGGTGTGTTGAGGCTTTGGCCCAAGGGCACTGCTCCGTGGGTTGCCCTTCCCCTGCCCCGAATCCATGGCCCCCACGTGCCGGAGTACAAGTCCCATCATCCACACCAGTCAATGGCCAGGGTGATAGGAGTTGCAGTCGACACCCCGCTTGGGAAGAGTCCCGGTGCAGGGCTGCCATGACTGAGAATCTCCCCGCCTTTTGCTCAGAAACTAGAAATAACTTGGAGCGAACCTGGAGCGGAGCCGGGAAGCGGTGCTGCTGGCAGCGGGGGCCGCTCCTCTGAGCGTATGGAGAAATCCACCTCATATTTGAAAAAATAGAAATAAAAAATGCGGTCTGACCTTTTAAAAACGCCTTTTCCATACTGATCTGCTGAGCTGCCGATTCTGTGATTCACCGAAACAGTGCGAAGCCGCCGCAGCTCCCAGCTGGCAGCCTTCGGAGGCCTGGTTTTGATTTGGGGGCGATTGATCCGCGCTGGTGGGTCCCACGCTTTCAAATCGGGGCTCCCGGAGGCGAAGGGGAGACATCTTTTGCAAGGTCTTCAGGCAAAGGAGGAGGAGAAAATGGAAGGGTTCACAGTCGAATGGAGAAGGGCTGGCCATGAAGACTTTTGCCTGAAGAAAACTGATGGGCAGCCGTTCTCTAGGGCTTCAGCTGAGTGCATCTTTCCCAGCCTTCCCTGGAAGTACAGAAGACCGAATCTGAGATTCTTGCGGAACTAAATTCCTTCCCCAAATGTAAGACTCTAGTCCTCATGGTTCTGAACGTGCAAATAGTACTGCAAATAGCTGCTGTTCAGACCTTCCTCCTCAGGACCCATCTCCTAAGGAGAACCATATTTGTAAAAAAAAAAGGAGGTATGTATATGAGAGAACTGGCCCCAGGTGCTTGGAACCATGAGGCCTAGGATCTTTTAATTTGAAAGAGAAGGAAGGACAAAAGCCCAGTGGCAGAATCCCCACTCGATATGCTGCAGGTCCCAGTTCAGTCCGTTCCTGTGGACGGAGCTGGTGGTGGGAAAGACCATTCTCAGCCTGACTGGGCCCACGGACCAACGAGCTGGTTCAGTGAATGTCCGGATGCTGTGTGCAGACGGGTTTTCTGTGTCTGCTCAGAGGGCTTAAGAAACAGGCAGTGATTCATATGCACAGCTGCACACCTTTCCAGAAAACGGGTCAAGAGCACCCAATTCTCCCCCCCCCCCCCCCCCCCGGAAAGGGACTCCAACTTGGGTCCTGCCCCAGGGGAGATACCTGGCACGGGAGGGGCCCACCTGGCGCCAATATGGGTGTAAAAATACTTGCGAGAGAGGCTTTTGACAACCATGAGGCACGGCTTCCACATGCAGAGACACCCCATGCTGGAGACAGGTGACAGGGGAGAACCGGCCCGGACCTTTCCCCAGGCCTCCAGCTCTTCGGAGCTGCAACCTTCCCACTCCGGCCATTCTGGAAATGTGCCAGTCGCTGGTCCCCCTGCTTGAAGAACGCAAAATGCTTCCTGCAGGGGAGCACCCCCTCGAGACCACCCCCCATCCACACACACCCCCTTTCATCCCTCACCCACATATTCCCAGACCCACACATGGAAATTTGCGCTGGCAAAGCGAGCCCAGAGGGGAGGTTTCTCTCTGTTGGGCCGGAGAGTTGGCATTGGGTGTCCAGTCCAGATCGGAGCACAGAAAGGTTGAACCGCTTTGCTTCCTGCTGGGGTCTCGGTCCAGATTGTACCCCCCCGCCCCCCTGCCCCCAGGCCTGAAACGTGCAAGGGGAGCGGAAAAGCTTCACTCGGGTCTTTCCTCCCCAGGGCGTCTAGCAAACACCCACCGAGAAGCCGGTCCAGACTGGGAGCAAGGGGGCCCAGAGGGATTTTCCACTGAGCCTCCAGATGTGGTCCCACTCCGGATTCTGCCCCACCCGGCCCCGGGCCTGACATGTGCAGCCCTCCTATCCAGGACAAAGGGGACAGAATCCCCTCCCTCTGGGTGCAAACCGCACGTCCTGCTAGAAAACGTGATGCAGCGAGGCTTCGAGATTAATCATTGCCTGGATTTGCTGGTGCGTCGCCTTCGCCCCGAATCAACAAAGGAGCGCCGGTTTCAAGCGGTGCCACTTCCAGAGGCGATAAAAGCAAAGGTGTGTCCGGCCTGAAAGGGATCAGGTAGATCAAGCCCAGGAATGGATCCCCCCCCGGGGGTGTCTCCCCCCCCCCCCTGGCCGTGGCAAGATTCATGGGGGATTCACTCTGCACGACAAAATGAGATTCCGGCTCAAGACTTCTCCAGCTTGCTTCCCCTCACCGCGAGAGTCTACAGCTCCCAGCAGCCCTGGGCATGCTGGCTGGGGCTGATGGGAGCTGCAGTCCACAACAGGCAAAGGGTCCCAGGCAAAGGGTCCGTCAGAGGTGAGGAGCCCATTTCAAGTCGAGGGTGAAATTCAATAATTCGATACGCCGCTTTCCCTTTCTTCCCTGAGCCGGTCGAGCCTTCCCAGGTTTGCCTTTGGGGCTGGCAAGCAAAACCCTGATGAGGAGATTCGTAAGAGCAAACGAAACACACGTGAATAATCAGGGACGCCTTCCAGCAGAAAACGAAAGTGGGGCAAGGTTAACTTTGGATCCCCATTGGGAGAATCGGAAGCATCGCTGTAGCCCTGGAGGGGCACTCGGGGGATCCGGGTTCGAGTCCCCACTCATGAAGCCCCCCGGGGGGCGACAGGCCCGTGGCTCTCAGCCTGGCCTGCTTCATAGGGTTGTTGTGAAGCTCAAGGTGAAGAGGACCCGGGACGCCACCTGGGCTCCCGGAAGGGGAAAAAGCAGCCTCCAAACGCGGCAAATAGCAAAGCGGCGGCATCTTCGTGGGGCACTGGGGTGCTGCGGACGGGTCCCCCCTCGGCCTGCAAACGGCGAGTGGCCACGGGCCGTGCAGAAGGGGCCACACAATCCTTGCACGCCCCCTCGGCCACGCACACCCCCGTCTCCAGCCACAGCTGGAAGCGCTCACCCCGCATGGACCAGCCCCAGAGCACGGCGGCGTGTGGGGCAGCGACCCAGCCGGCCAAAGCGGCTCTGCCGCCCACCAAGCCGCCCTCCCCGAATTCCTCTTCGCCCCGCCTGGACCAGCGGCCTCCGGGGCTTGTGGCTGGAGTGCCGCCCTGTGTCTCCTGGGGGGCGCGGGGCGGGTGGGGGCACGGCTGGAGCTCAGCGTGGCCCCTGCGTCATCCCCGGGACGCTCGCCTCACACCCCGGCAGGCGTAAGCCCCTGTGGGGCACAGGGGTGAGGGGCTGGGGCTCGTTCCGGGCGCTTCAGGGACCCACACCTGAGTCGGGAGGCCCCGCTGAGCCTTCGCAGCCGTTCTGCAGCTTTACCTTGAAATGGGGAGCTTTGCAGGGGGCCCACCTGCCCCCCGCCAGGCTGGACGAGGTCCACGGGGTCGCCACCCAGAGGCGTCATCGGCAGTGGGGTGGGGGGAGCGACACGGGGGCAATCTCCTCCTTTCTGCAGTGCTGCCCCCCAGAGGTGCCCGAGCAGACTCCACCGGCCGGGCCATCTCCGCTCTTCTGCTGCCTGAGAGGAGGCCGAGAGGGCCCGGCCTGGGGCTTGCGGGACCCTTGCTTGCCTCCAGTCAGCACTACGGGGGTAAGGTAGACTGCCATACACCGAGAAGCTCCACCGAGGTGTCCTTTGCGCAGCTTTTCCTGCAAGGAAGCCCAAGCGGCTCACACGATTCCCCCCACATTTGAACCCCACAACAACCCTGCAGGGTAGGTTGGGCTGGGAGCACCAGCAGTGGGGTCAAGTGGCAGGGGCGAGACTCACAAGGGGACTTACAAGGCTCCGATTTGGCACCCCCAAATACGACACCCTCCGGCTCCGTGGGTGCCCCACTTGCGTTGCTCGCACCCTTTCGGGAAGCGGCCACCTTTGTGCACCTTGGCAAAGGCGTGAGGCCCACCAAAATTTGGTAATTTTTTTCCATTTTAAATATTTAAAATGTCAGAAGTGGTAGGGAGACAGCCCGCCTTCCCTGGACACAGCTCCCTTTGCAGGGCTGCCTGCTGTGCTTTGGAAAAATCTCGGGAAAGGGAGCTTCCTGATTAATTAAAAAGAAGGGGGGCAAAGGGGAGTGTTTCTGAATCACATCCCATTAAAATCAAGAAGGGGGGGGTTGCAGGAACTCCTCCCACTGCGGGCCCCCAAGCTGCGCGCTCCCACTGGCTCTGCATACCGAGCGTGTCTGCAAAAGGTCATCGCGGCGAAAGTGAGGAGGTGAAAAGAAGAAAGGACCGACTTGGCTGGCAAGGCGGACAAAGAACAAGGCTTGGCGAAGGTCATCTGGATGTGACCGCAGAGATATAAATCGCGAACGGTAAGCAAGAACAGAACGTTTTAGAACGGTAAGCAAGAACAGAACATTTTAAGTGGCAAAAAAGCTGCCTTGCCGTGGTCAGGGCGAGTACAGCCGTGGGGTCCGATCCGTGTTGCAGGATAGCTGAAGAAATCCGTTTTGAGGCTTCCACGAGCTCCAAAGGAGGGTGCCCGCTGTGTCTCTGCATGATCAACTCTTGGGTCTTGTTCTTTGCCCATCCGCCTCCTGTGAAATTAAGCCATTCTGCCCCATCTTACCAAGTGGGATGTGTCCGGATCATTCAATCCCTTTCGCTCCCAAGATGCCGCAGGATAAGCTGCCCTCTGAGGAGTCTGCCCACTGCAGCTCTGCTCAGTTACCAGCCTGATCCTAAGAGCACCTTTCAATCAGCGTCTGGTTCAAGGCAGGGCAGTTCTACTATCAAGCAAACATGCCCATGCAGAGATGCAGCGGAGTTGCTTGCTGTCCGAAGAGGCTGCCTGTTCTCGAGTGCCTGTTCTCTACTTGCTTCTTCCCAAGATGGCTTCCAATCCCCACTTGGCCATGAAGTTCACTGGGGGACTTCAGGCCAGCTGCAGACTCTCTCAGCCTAGCCTACCCCACAGGGTTATTGTGAGGACAAAATGGTGAGGGGGAGGACCGTGTGACCTGCCTTACATTCCTTTGGAGAATCACCGAGTTTTCCCACACTACCCAAAGGTGCTGGACACCAAATTTCTCCATCATGTAACAGAAGTTCTGTCTCTACAGCCACCAAAAAATATTCGGGCTCCTTCTATGTATTCGTCCGTGGCAAAACTTGCTTTTTGTTCCAGATATACTGGAACACACACACCTGGGTGTGCACAGACACAAAAAATAGCTGTGCTGTGGCTTATTCTGCTTAAATGCCACATTGCAAGGAAGGAAACAGTGTTTCAAGAGAACAAGCCAGAATATGTACACATGCCTAAAATTCAACCCAGAACACAGAACAACGCTCTTTATTAACAGAAAATTTACAGCGTAAAGGGGTTGTCGGCCTTTTTTCCCACCGAAACAAGCAGAAGACGCACTCGGGAGACCCAACTGTTGGTCCAAATCAACTGCGGTGGATAAATAAAGGACGAGGACATTTTCAAACCAGTGTTTAGGAAACCAAAACATCCATTATTTACACGGCGGGGTGTTCACCAGCGGCAGGGTGTCTTTCAACCATCCCGCGGCCCTCTATTTTAATGCCGGCCCTTCGCCGTAATATTTCGATCACAAAGGACAAGGGGAAAAATAAATAGACCCATCACTTTCTTGGCATTTACTGCTTCTTCGGAGGGCTGGGCGTGCTGTTTGCATAAAGCCAACTCCGGCGCACGGAGCTGGGCTCCCTCCCTTCCTTCCTTCGGCGCGCCGTTTGCCAGCTGATCCGTATCGGGCACAAACACCGCGCCCGCGGTGACGGCCACACAGGGCAGAGGAGGAGTGGGGCAAAGGCAAGCGGCTCCACCAAGGCCACGCCAGGCGGTTCTCGCACCTGGAAGCCAGCAGCAAGTTGGCCGCCGAGCATCACTTTGCCCGGGCTGTATAAATGCCCCACAGAGAGATCTGGCTGGTTCCATCCATGCCGGGGATGAAAGAACCAGCCATTTCCAAATGAGGGATTCGTAGAGTGTCGACACGTGTGGAGAGATTCCTTGGATACGCCCCGACTCCTTAATCTTCTAAGAGGAGTGCGGATGGTTCTCTCCTGTCTAACCCAAGAAAGGTGTGGAGGGTGGGAGCCAAGACTCGGGGAAGCCTCTTGTAAAGGGAGGAATCAGAGCTCCGTGGCAGAGGTCCATTTTGGACACGTCTGCAGTGGGGCGGAAAGATACAGACCTCGGAGACGGGGCGAAGAGCCTGAAGTCGCCGAAACGCGGTGGCTTGGTTTCATTCCCTTTGCAGCAGAGTCAGTTATGGGGAGAGGAACCAGGAGTGTTTGTGGGGCAGGACAAAGCCTGCTTTTTAAGAAACCCACACGGCACCTGGACACCCGCAGGGACAAGCAGCAGGCGGCTCTTTGGGACCTCTTTTGGAAATCCAACATGGCAGCCGTGAGCATTTAAACAGCAGACCTTTTACGCCGATGCCGTCCAGGTTCGCTCGTGTAAAGCGAATGGGAAGCAATGTCGGTTCGGATTACCGGGGTCCAAGCAGAAAGGAAGCCCCCCACCAAAGGGGGAAGCCCCCCATGAAAATGAGAGAAGCGGCTGAGGGGCGGGACGACACGACGGAAGGTGGCTGGAGGAATCCAAAGCGGGATCCCCGCACCCACTCACCGCCCCTGCCTCGAGCGTCGCCCCGTCCCAACTCGCCCCCATTTCTTTCTGCCTCATGTCCTCCCATGGAGGAGGGGAAGCGTGTCTACAGTAACGAGGAAAGGAACCGTCAAAGAAGAACCGTCAAAGAGGAGCACCTGTCTTCTGAATGTGCTCGAAGTGTGTCCGGAAGCGGGAAGCCTGCGATTGTGGCCGCGGGGAGAAGTCAGAGCCATGGAACCCACCCCACGCCCGCTTTCCGTTCACCTAGGTGGCCAGGCCAGCCAGACAGGGAGACGGGGCAGAAGCGGGTGGGCCAGAAGAAATCGTCGGGGGCAGAAATATGAAGCACGGGAGCAGGCGATCTGCAAAGGGCAATGGACGCCCGGATGCACTTTTTGGGTGGTGGGCGAGTGCAGGGTGGCAGGACCCCCCCTGCCCCCGGATCAAGCTGCCATGCGGGGCTAGATGGGTGAGTCCAGGTGAGAAGGTTCTCTGGGCATGGGTGGCCACGGGGAAGGGGGGGGTCCGATGCGGGCAAGATCCATCTCCCTGCAGCCCAACGTGGGACAGACCCCAGGAGGAGGACGCCCCACCATGGGGGGGGGGGGGGAATGGCGCGACCCTACAGTCTCTTCTTGATGAGTTTCTCCAGCTTCCGGATGCGCGACGACTCCTGCTCCGGCGTGGGGGCCGCCTGGGAGACGGAGCCCGTGGTGTCGGTCCCAGAGAGGGGGGCCGGGAGCCTCTGGCGGAAGATTTCCAGCATGCCGCTCTGCTCGCTCCGCTTGAGGCCCTGGAGGGCAGAGGAGGAGAGGAGGTTGCCACTGCCCTAGTGAGGTGGTGACCCCGAAACCCCGCACCTGAAGCCTGACTCGCGGCTAGACCCGGCTTGGCTCGCCCTGCCAAGCCGGGCATGTGGGAGCCTGGGCCCGGGGACCCAAACTGGCCTTCGGTGGGTCCCAGCCCAGCTCCCCCGGGCTGCCCCAAAGGCTGGCCTTCTCTGCCCCCAGCTGCTGTGGGCTTCCCAGGCACCCCACGCCTGGCACTAACCAAATCAGCTCTTTTGGGGCTCAGTAGCAGGAAGAAAGAGCCGGGAGCGAAAACGTGCGGTCCTTTTTTCTGGAACTGATCCTAGCCATGGTTAGGAAGTGTCCCTCGGGCTAGAAAAGGGGCCCCAGTCCTGGGCACGGGTGTAACTCTCCATCCTAAGGTTTTCCCTCAGACACTCAGGTAGGCTTACTGCTGGCGGAGGCAGGCGACCTGGGGATCCGTGGGGCGCCGTGGGTCAGTCATGACATGTAAGGAGCTGAGCCTTGTGCCCAAACCAGCAGTGGTTCCAATGACGACTCCTTCGAAGTCCGGACTGAAGCCCGGAGTGGATACACAGCCCCACGGACATCTGAGCCACTGCCCTCTGCTATAACGGGAGCTGTGGGGTGTTGAACCCGAGCCCAACACCAGTTTGCCCACCACTGAGTCAACCCCCGTGCACAAAAATGCCCCTTAGGGCATGGAGCACTTCTTCCAGGTGGCCCGGAGTGCCACAGGCTCCGCCAGGGGGCCTCCTCGGGAGCCACTGGGCTCCCACTCACCTTCATATCCAGGACCTTCTGGAAGGTGTCGGTGTTGCAGTCGGCCAGCAGCTTGATGTAGTTGTCTGCAAACACCACTGGGGGCTCGTGTGGGGCCATCACCACCTGGAAAGAGCAGGAACCGCCCCCAGAGAGAGAGAGGCTCACTCACACTGCCAAAAGCATCCCGACAAAAAGATACACCTGGCCAGGTGGGGCTCCCAAGGATGAGCCGGCCAGGCAGGCTTGGCTTTGGGGCGACGTTTCGGAGGAAGGCGGGGAGACCTCAGGGCAGGCGGCCAAGCGTGGTCTGAGCTATGGACAGGAAGTGCCAAGCGGGGGCGGGCACCTCCCCCCGGGGTCTTCGGCTGACCCTCCGGGGTCCCCCAACGCTGCACTGCTGGAAGAGGCCCGGTTGGTGTGTGCTTTGCCCCCATGTTCAAGGCTGAAATGCCCCCCGGGAGGCCGAGCGGGAGGAGCTTTCTGCCAACACCGCCCCGGCCTTGTCCGCCCCCCCAATGTGCCCCCCCCAACAGAATCCAGCCCCCGGCTGCCAGGGCTGAGCAGCCCCTGGACTTGGGGAAAGGCTGATGCCGGGGAAGTGCCCGAGACCCCGCCAGAGAACGCTGTGATGGCACGAGGGTGCTGACCCACGGGGGGGGGAGGCGCCTCTCGACGCGGGGGGCTGTCTGCAGCGGGACAGCCCCCCGGGGGCTTCCCCGGGGAGATCGAGGCCTTGGGGGCGAAGGAGAACGCGCCCCTCACCCTGCCCTTCCCAGGCACAGGGGGCACCCCCAGCTCGGCCAGCGCTGCCCGCGTGAGGCGGCCGCCCTCCCCGAGGGGTGCACCCCCGCCCCCGAGGGCGTCCGGCCCCGCCGCCCCAGCCTCCCCCGCCCTCCTGAACGCGGCGTGCGGCGCAGCCCTTGCCTTGAGGATCATCTCCGCGCGGGTCATGCCCTTGACCACGATCTTGGTGTAGCTGGCCGGCGCCGTCCGCACGACCTGGGAGCCGATGGAGGGCAGTTCCAGGAGCACCATCTTCAGCGAGTGGGTGTCCAGCAGCAGCTGCCGCAGGGCGAGAGGGGTGGTCAGCCAGAGGGAAGGCCCCGTGCAAGGGCGGGCGGCTTTCCCGGGCGCGAGGTGAAATCCTGCCCTTTTCCAGCGCACTAGAGGCACGCGGAAACCCCGGCCCAGAAACAAGCCTTCCCCGGACGCCAACCAAGCATGGATGCATGTTTTCCGGGGTGCCGTACATCCCCCCCCACTGCACCCCTGGCAGTCTAAAAGGCCGAGATGCTTCTCCAGGGAGTGCTCCGAGCGAACCACATGGGGGGTTCTTGACGTATCACCCCCTCCTCTGTTTTGCCCCATCCGCAGAAGGCAGCCCCCAAGAGCTCAAAAGTGGAATCTGGCCTGAAGGGGCCTCGAAATCTTTGCCTCAGAGCAGCCTCCCGGCTCTGGGTCCCCCGCGTCGTGCGGGACAACCGCTTCGGTTATCTCCGGCTGCTGCAGCACCATGAGATCTAGGAACTTGGCTGTGCGAGTCAAGATGCCCAAGAAGGGCCGATTCACAGCAGGGTTCAGGGCAGGACGAGACCGAGCGGCTGGGGATACTGCCAAGGGACCTCGGCACCTCCTGCTACAAAGCAGTTTAGGACAGGAGGGGGGCTGCGAGACTCTTGCAGAAAGGCCGAGGGGGGGCTTCATCGCTCCAACCCAGGCATCTCCGCAAAACCGCAGACCAGGCAGGGCTAGGTATTTCAGGCACTCCGCGAGGCAGGAACTCTGGACTCCCATGAAATGCGTTCCTGCCCCGAACCGAAAGGAAAGTCTGCTCAGAGCTACGGCAGCCGAACGACGCCTGGATTCTCCGAACGCCTCCTCGCCCCTCCGTTCGTGGCTGACTCCTGCTGGCCTGGGCGATCGGTGCCGGGGGCACGCGAGCAGGAAGCGTGCGCCAAGTGGGCGAGCGCGATCGTGGGCGCACACTTGCCGCAGACAAAGAGGCGGGCGGGAAACGGCATCGGCTCCCCTGGACGTGGGGGCACAGGGGCCCGCCTTCGACGCAACGCTGCCGGGGAAGGAGGCATCCTAGCTTGGAGCCCTGGGTGGGGGGAACGTGGCATTCCCCCTCCGCATACCCAGACCCACCCTGAGCAGCTGCAGCCCGGAGCGACAGCTGACCGCCCGGCGTGTCTCGGTCTCCCCCGTGCACAGAACGCGGCCCTGGCCGAGGCGAGGGACAGGTGTGTGCCCTCAGGGCAGACAACACACTGGCAGGGGGGCCACGACAGCTGCAGCCCTGGGACAATCGTACCCAGAGCCCCCCCCACCTCTGCTTTGGGCGACGAAGGGCGAGGAGGGCCTTGCGGTCCAGCAAACTACCTGCTGCCCCAAAGCCAAGATGGTTTCTGGAGGCCTGCAGCTTCTGAGAAAGCCCTGTAGACAAGCACTGCCTCTGCTGTGAGACCAAAACTGTTTGCCTTGCTGAACCAGCTTCGCCTCTTCCCCTTTCCCGTCCCCCAGGGATCGGGGGAGCCTGCGTGTGCCAGGTGGGAGTCTATAAAATCCACCGCAAGAGGCTTTGCTTGGGGGGAGGAACAGAGGCGAGTGTAACAGAACCAATGCAGGGGCCAAGCAGCTTTCCAGACGCCCCACAGGAACTCCCAGAAAGCTCCAGCCAGCCAAGTGTTTCTTTTTGCCTGTCTAAACACACCTAGGGTTAAGCATGTCTTTGGAGAAGCATTTCAACCCTTTAGATTGGGGGGGGGGGGGACTGCGAAAAAGCCAGGAAGCCATTAGAGTACCGAGGGGGAAGCAAAGGTGGAAAGAGGCATGGCCATTTAGAGAGGTCCTGGGGGCGAGCTGGACCCCTGAACTTCTTGCTCTGTTGCATATGATGTTCATCCTCTGTCTACACTCTTTTAGTAGTCACAAGGATAAAGGCAGGTTTGCTCTTAACTCCAACACGCTCATGCGAGCAAACGGCCCTTCTCCGCGCCTCCACTGCTCCCCCCCCTTAATTTTTCCAGTCCTCACCTGTTCAGCCCCCACCATGCTGATGGGCTTACACTTGAAGAGATGATTAATAAACTTGGGAATGAAGGCACTGCGGGGGGAAAAGCGAGAGCGATAAGCACGACTATTTTACAAGCAGCTTGGAGATCCAACAAGCAAGCCCGAGTTTGTATTCCTGCCCTCACTCCGAGAAAGGAGCCGCCCAATGGAGACCACGAAGGGACAAGAAGAGGTCGCCATGTGCAACGCTTAGTCCAAGGGTTTCTTGGGAATTTAGGGCGTATCTGTGTTCCTAGGTCCCAGACCAGGAAAACAGCAGCTAGAAAGTTAAAATCCTTTTCTCAAGCCCTTAGTTCTGCCCGTCACTGGAACGTGCTCTCCCCAGAAGACAGACTGGGCCCCTGCACAGCTTCCAAGGTCCCTCATTCTACTGGAGGGTTCAATCAGGCATTGGATGTGCGTATTTTGGCAAACCTGCCTTCATGAGGGCTAGGAGCTTGCTGCTCTTTAAAAAACTAAATAAGAAAGCTAAGGTGAAGAGGCCCGATCCTCAAAAAGCTGAATTCTGGATTTCCTCCCCGCCACCATCATGTTGAATTGCATCCCTCCGTTCCTAGACTGGGGGAGTCTACCGTGGGTTCCCATGGAGCGGCATGTCCTGAAAATTCTCCCGTTGGTTCTGCAACCAAACTCATTCCAGATGCGCACAGTGGGAAGGTTTTCCTTCCTGGTCTGGCTAAGAGCAGGGAACCTGCAGGCAGGCAAAGTCAAGCCACTGCCAGACAAGACGGCATAAATGCGCCTTTGCACGAGGACAATCATTATTTATCACCCACTAAGTGCGGCCGTAAAAACTCAGGCACAATCCCCGTCGGAGCCGGAGGCGCTGCAACTTTTTCGCAGAGGCAGCATTTTGGAAACCGCAGCCGACATCAAGGTCAGGCGGTCTAATCGAGGGTGGTCCCCAGAGCCAGGAGGACTGCCCGGGAAAGGGGAAAAGGAATGAAGGAAAGCCTTCCACTTCCAAACTGGCTGCCAAAAGCGCACAAGCTCTCACAATCCAGGAGGATGTCTTGAATCAGGGGTTATGGGCTCCTTAAGTGTGACCCCCACGTGGCAATTGCAATGCCCTATATAACTGGGAGTCTGGAAAAGGAGTGGGGGGCGGGCGGAAGAAAAGGGGGCAGCTTGCCGAAGCAGAATATTGCAAAGCACATAAAAGGGTTTGTCGATTTGGGCAGTGTGGCCCCCCATCCTTTCCACACCGAACCCCCCGAAGTCACAGATGATTCCACCCGGCTTTGGGAATCATCGCCTGAAGCTTTCAGGTAATTTCCAAGCTGCCTGCAGGTGAGGAGCAGTGGGAACCCCCAACTCCACTGCCACGAGACCCGAGGCCTGCCTTCTCCACCCCGGTGCCTTCCCGGTGTGCTGGACCACAACCCCCAGGATTGGACCTGAGGCAGCCCCACTGAAACAGCCCCACTGAAACAGCAATATCTTTCGCACTTGGGCACAAGCACTGCTACGCCACGCCGGCCGGCCTGCTGAAAGAGCCCGGCCTGGCCCGGCCGGCCCAGGGGAGCGGAGGCCCGGCCCCTCACTTGGCAAACTTGATGCAGAACTGGGTGAAGTATTTGCGCGTGGAGGCCAGGTTGTCGCGGATGACGGGCACGTTCTGCTTGATGTGCAGGATCACCGAGGTGACGTACGGGCTCTGGTCGCCCACGTGTTCCACGTTCTGCCACTGCATCTGGAGGGAACCGGAGGATTTCTTTTTTTAAACCGGAGGTAGTTTTGCGTCTGAAGCGAGACAGGGCACGACCTGGAGATGGGCAGGGCATGAAAGCAGGCTGCCTGGCTGAGCTTTGGGCATCTGGAGGATGGATTTTTTAGCATTTATGGTGAGGACGGCAACCGCGGCTACGAGAACAGCCCTTTCCACAGGGAGCACGGGAAGCGCCTCTTTTTCCCCCTTAACCTTTCCCTTTCCAAAATGCTGAACTCCCTCTTCACCGGCAGTTTTAGCGGCTGCCCGAGAAACCTTGAAGCTGAAGCAGGCCCGCCCCCCTGGCAGCCCAAGTGCGTCTCTGAGGCGGCCCCCTTGGGGGTCTTTACCTTGCTCATGGCGGTGAGCGCCGGATCACAGGCCCCGTCCAAATCCTGCACCAGCAGCTGGATGCTGTTCGAGATCACTCTGCAAGGAAAGACGCAGAGGGCTGATCTGACGGCCGTCCAGACCCACACTGGGGGGGCCCGGCTGGGGTCCCCCCCATATTAATATCAGAGCAAATTAGCATAGGCAACCCCAATCACAGCATCAGCGTTACTCGCCTGGCGTCATTCTAAAACAAAGCATGATCCGCCCGGCCAAAATAAGTATTTTTGGCGCTCACCAAAAATACGGCCGAGATGGAACATGCTATGGCCCTGTTTTCAGCTGAGGGCAGGCCAGCCATGCTGGGGCTGTACCACTTTGGAGTGGTGTGTGCTCTGGAGGGCTGCAAACAGACAACCACTAAAACCCTCGGCTCAAAGGAGGCCAAGTGTGGCTCAACATCCATCCAGGCATGTATGTCACTCTATTTATGACTCCCTTGGCCTGGAAGACCTTTCCAAGCGAAGTCCAAAACAAATCAACGCTTCCCACGGAGGAAAGGACTGCCGTCCCGGGAACACCCGTGGGGAAGGAAGCCTTTTCTGCAGGTGCTGAAAACCTGGGGAACTTATGTGGCGTACCGGGGGGGGGGGGGGCACCGGGCCCTGCCTTTTACTCAGCAAGCCTTTTTCGCAAGCTGCTCTGCAGCCGACGGGGAACCTTTTGGCTGGGTGGGCAGTTCTTTCCTCCACAGCTACATTTTTAGATGTTCCCCTCCTTGCTTTGCTTTTAGGGTGGTCCCATTGCATTTTTCTTTTCATCTCAGCCTTATGAGCATTATTGTTTTGCTGGGACAGTCAAATACAACCTGAAAATCGGCACGATTCTTCCTAAATAAATCTTCCTAAGCGTCAGGACTGCTGCTGTTAATCATCTGGTGCTGGGAATCCTTTACAGTCCCAAAATTATCCTGCACAGAGCTAGTTTACAAGTAATTGGCTGCTCTGTTGGGAACACGGCTGCAGTTTTAAGGGTCTGGACTCCACCATCCTATCGGTGGAGACGGCCAGGGGACTTTCTGGCGTCCCAGCTCTGCTCTCGGAGACGCCCTCCGAGCCCAGGGCTGGGACTCGCAACTCAGAGCTGCCTTCCTCCACCCCTGGAGACCCTGGCGAAAGAACGGCACCCCCGAGGCTGCGAGAACGACCTCGAAGGAGGGCTGCTGTGGACTGGAACAGGGAAGCAGCTCTGCGGGCGTGCGTGGGCCACATTCTGTGCAGAGGGACGCTGGATTCTGCCCCGAGCGGTTTCCCCATTACAGCCCTGATGGTATTTTAAAGCTCCCTCGCCACCGTCTCGGCTCTTGGTGGCTTGTGCATTTCCGCATTATCAGGTAATTCCAGCTCCAACTTCCCAAATTTGCAAGCGACACGGCCGAAAAATCGGCACGTGCCCTCTGTGGGTCCGTGAGCAAATTCAGAGTTTTCCCCGGGGTGGCGTGCAGAGCGCTTCCGATGGCTCCGTCGCACAGACGAACTCGGCTTTGCTCCAGCTGGCTGCCAAGTCCCCACGCCTGGCAATTGTGTCTCCTCATCTGCACCCCCCCCCCCAGCCCCTCAGAGAGACCTGACAGGAATAATCCACCCAGGCAGCATCTACGGCTTAATTGGCTAATTAAAGCTGTCAATCTTCCCTTAGGAACTGCCAAAATAACTTCCAGAGAGCGCTGTCCACTCACACCTCGCCTGCCACGACGTGCTTCTCAGGGGAAGGTTCTCGGCCTGCCAGGTTCACCCGCATAGCTGTTAACAGCGTGCAAAATGTCACCGTTAATAGAAGGATCAGTTCCCGTCCGCTTCGTTTTCCTTTCGCTCTGTCGTGCAGAAGGGAAACGTCACTTCGGCTGACAAGGTCTGTCGAGAGACGGGCCCCGAGGAAACCTGAGCAGTGAAGGCTCCAGTTTGCCTTGCAAACGGGTCCGAGGCGTTTCGGTGCAGGGATTACCTGGACACGCCTGCTGTCCTGCAACGCCTCTGCCGGGCACCTTGGACGTCCAGGCAGGTGGTGGAGCAGGAGGAAGGCCCTGCGCTGTTCTGGCCGACTACGACGGCCACGCCTGAGCACTGGGACCAAAATGGCTTCCAGGAGCATCAGTCCACACCTCCCTCCAGCGGCCTGCTCCAGGAGTTGGGCCTAGCTGGCACGAGATTTATTTATCTATCGATTTATATCCTGCCTTTTTCCTGCAAAGGGTTCAAGGCAGCTGACATCATTCTCCTCCTCCATCTTATCCCCACAACAACAACCCTGTGAGGTAGGTTGGGCTGAGAGTCTGGGCCTGGCCCAGAGTCACCCAGTGGGCTCCATGGCCAAGCGGGGACTCGAACCCGGATCGTCTGAGTCCCAGTCCCATGCTCTTAACCACTACACCACACTGCCTCTCCAGTGGCAGACTATTGCGGGTCACTTCACAGTGGGTTGCGTGGCAAGTGCAGCGACCCACTGGGCGTTGAGGAATGCCCAGAAAACTTGGGCCTTGGTTGGGTCAACGAGAGCTGAGCAACAGCCTACGCTTAACTCTGCTAGCAGTTGGATTAAGAGTGGCGTCTTTAACCATCAACTATGCCAGGAGGGCAAAGTTCACGCGATATGTTCCATATTCAAAATGGCAGCCATGTGCACCCCAAAAGAGGCCGGAGTGTAAGGAAGCACCCCACAGTCAGCAGCGTCTTTATGGGCTGGGTTCTCTTAAGCCAGGCCTAGCATAAGGTTTTGTACCTGTGCCCCAAAGCCCGAGACACCTCAGGACCAGGACGGCTTAGGGGATCCCTGGATCCCCTCCCGGCCGGCTCACTTCCGGTGCTTATCAAGACAGACTCTTCCGGGGATCCCCAAGAGTTTGGAAGTCCCAGTCATCACGGAAAGAAGAGAAGCCCCGAGTGTCACGGTGTTTGCTCTCGGGAACTCTGCATCAACAGGCCGCGCAAACCCTTCTGCGTTTTCAGCACCTACTGAAAAACATCTTTTCCAGAAGGCATTCCCAGAAAAGCAGTCTTGCCCTCTGCACAAGCATGCTTGGAAATGTTGCGAGGGCAAACCGTTCATACTAAAAATAAAATAAAAGTTTAAAAAGGAATTTTAGGAGAGCGGTCAACACAGCTGCACCAGCGTGGCCGAACTGGGAGCACTCACTGCCAACTGCTCCCGACAACGCTATGTGGTTAATCCTCCAAACAGCCCCCGGACAGGTGTCCACCAGGTGGGCTGGACTACGGCCCCCAGCATGCCCCACCTAGCTCCGAGTCCAACCCACTCTGGGGCTGAAGACATCCACGGGGCATCAAGGCAGGCAGGGCTGCCGAAGAGGATTAACCCAGAAAGCCAAAGCGGCAAACAAGCTGCTGGCGTCTGCCCGGTGGCGGGTGCGACCCTTGCAGGCCACGCGGGCACAGCCGTGTGGGGCTGACCGGAGCTCTGCGGAGACGGGTCGGCCCACGGAGCGGGCCCGGCTTGCAACGGCCTGCGGCGCTGTCTATGCGTACATGCTGAACGTATCCATCTCCCCCATCAGGTTAATCCTCTCCATGAGGCCGACATCCACCTTCTCCTTGAGCTTTTCTTCCAGCTGTTTGGAGGCCGGGGGGGGGGGGAGACGAGAGAAGTGAGAACTTCTGCCCGTGGAGTTCCGAGCAAACCCCAGGCAGCCCTCCCTGCAGGGGGGGCGCTCCTTGTGGAAGCTGGCCCTTGGATGAGAAGCAGCTCCACCCCTTGGTGCCCACCACCGGAGCGCCACACCGGCCCTGCGCTAGGAAGACTCAGCTGCTTATTCCCCCGGGCCCCCCCAACGCCCCAGGCTGCCCGGCATGCTCTCTCGCCCGGCTGCCCCCCGAGAGGGCCGTGTCTTTACCTGTTGGGTGGTCGCCAGGCAGTACTCGGCCGTGCTCAAGATGCTGCAGATCAAGCACAGCTCCTCCAGGGTGAACTTGGCCACCTCCGAGCCCTCCTTCTCCTTGAGCAGGCTGGTGATGGTGAGCCCCCCGCCGCCGCCGCCGCTCGTCCTGCCGGAGGGGGCGACACACCGGTTAAACCACGGCGCCCGAAGCGACCTGACACACCCGCTCGCCTGGGGAGGTTCCCGGCAGGAGGAGAGCGAGGTGGGCCGTCCCGCTCCCCTCCCGCAGCTCAGCACGAGAAGACCCTCGCGCGCACGCCGGGAGGAACCGCCCGCAGCCGTGCCAACGGGTTGCGGCGCGTGGCTTCCCACAGCCCCAGCCGGTGCAGCAGCAGGGGGGCAGGATGGATTTGCCCGTCCTTCTCCGACACCCTGCGGGGCCCGGCGCGAAAAGCATTTTGGAGAGGGGAGGCAGCAACCGCTTCCGGGCTGAGAGCTGCTTCCAGCTGCAGAGGAGGACTCGGAAGCTACAAAAGCCTACAAATGCTTCCACCAGATTCTAGCTTCAAGTACTTATCCCTGTACTTCAGACTTAGAAGAGGTGGGTGATTAGGGGGCACAGTGTGGAGCTACAGGAAGGGGGTGCCACCCCTGGGTCCGGCCCTCGAGTTTTAGATACCTGGGCAGCTTTCAGGAATAACCGCCACCCCCGCCACTGGACAGAGCTGGAATCTCACTTGGGCAAGTTTCCCGAAAGGATCTTCCAGGCGTACTCCCGGAGGTACTTCTGGAAAATGGTGGTCAGGGCGATCATCGGCTCGCCGGTGCTGAGCTGGGAACACTGCACCATGCATTTCTTGTAGTAGACAAAGAGGTCGGCGCAGCTGGGCAGGACGGCCCCCCCCTCGTCGATGTTGGGCTTGGGCGGGCCCTGGGCCCGGAAGTCCCCCACAAAGCGGTCGATCAGCTCGCTGAGGTTCCTAAAGGCGGGAGAGAAAGAAGTCGCGAGCCCTCGTATTGGAGAGAGAGAGAGCAAAACCAGCTCCAAAGTGGGGGAGAAAAGGCAATTTTAATAAAAGGCAAATGTGGACTTAAATAACACGCACCCCCCCCATCCTTATTTGTGTGGATGCTCTGGTTGCTGGGGCAACCAGGGGATCAGCAAGAGATGCGAACTTTCTAGAGACAAAGGTCTCGAAAGCAAACACACTTGGGGCCGATCTTTCGCTTGGCCTAAGGAACACGGCACACAAGTATGAATTTAGGGGTTTTGCTGGCAGCTGCAAGTCAGTTCACCTCCCGGGATCTTGCCAGTTCAGCGCTGCTGAGCCGAGGGTGCGCGTTTAACTTTCCCAGCACCTGGAGATGCTTGTTCTCTGCTCAAGCGCCTCCCTCGTCTGCCCGAGCGGGATACCCCTTTTATAAAATGCACTTCTCCATGGGCCAGTTGCCTGCCTCTGCAGGACTAGCAAAAGAGCGCACGAATGACCTCGCTCCTGCATCTTGGGTTTTGCAGAGGCACCTGGTTCGCCAGCCCAAGACTGGCCCGGGGGTCCGAATCCAGCCAGGCTGCTTCGAGGCCCAGCCCTGTTCTCCAAGGCAGACACACCACAATCACACCGTTTCGACATCCGTGTCACAGTTCCCGTTTCGCCCAAAGAACCCCTTGCTGTTGTTTAGTCGCAAAGTCGTGCGGAACCCATCACAACCCCACGGACAACGCTCCTCCAGGTCTCCACCATGCCTCGGAGTCCCCCCAAGCCCACACCCACCTCTCCAGTGACCCCATCCAGCCCCCTCAACCTCTGCTGCCCCCTTCTCCTTTCGCCATCAATTGTTCCCAGCATCAGGGTCTTCTCCAGTGGGTCCTTCCTTCTCATTAGGTGGCCAAGGCATTTGAGTTTCATCTTCAGCATCTAACGAACCCCTCGGGGCTCTCATTCGGGGAGGTGCCAGGAACTGCATTAACAGATCCTTTGCAGGCCGCGGTTCCCCAGAATGTCCTGGGAAGGCCTGACGAGGCCCAGGCGGGCATCTTCCCCGAGACAGAGCGCTGGTCCTTGCCGTGAGAAAAAAAGCAACAGCCTACAAACATTCACTTCATGAACCTGGCGGCTGGCCAGGGAAATCCAACCGCAAGCTGCTTCGTGGTGCCAAAAGGGGTTCGGTTCGCCTTGTTGTCTGCAGCTGGTGGAAATTACTGGTGGATTTGTAAAGATGTTTACAAAAACACAAGCAGCGACGCACTTCGCTTCACGTCCATGTTTAAGGCAGGTGACTCATACACATTTATTACTCACTTGTCCTGGGATTCGATGTACACATAAAGATGCGGCTCAAAGCACTTGGAAATAATTCCGTGGAATGGATTATCCGGAACCTTTGGCCTTTTGGGCTTAAAAAAAGAAAGAAGTGTCGCAAGCCAGGATAGCATTGAAAAGAAAATAGATTCAGTCTTTCAAACTCTCGGGAAAACAAGGGTTAGGGTTAGGAAGCGCTTAATGGAAAGAGCTTAGATGGAAAGCACTTAATTCCAAGCTTGCTCACAGAATTTGTCAGACCCTTTGCCAACTGCGCATGATTCTAGTCCCTCTGTCCTGCAGAGGTACAGGTAGGAGCAACGCTTTGCAGACAAAAAAAAAATCCCATGTTCAAATCCCCATCATCCCCTACTTTTGAACACTCTGGCAGAAGTGTCAGTATATTTTTAGGAGGCATTAAACTGAAGCTCAATCCAGACAAGACGGAGGTCCTGTTGGTTGGCGGTTCGGGCTTCGGAGAAGGTGACCTGAACCTTGTCCTGAATGGGGTTGCACTCCCTCCTAGGGACAAGGTCTGCAGCTTGGGAGTGCTCCTCGACCCGGAGCTTTCACTTGAAGCTCAGGTGACAACAGCGGCGAGGAGCGCTTTCCTCCAGCTTCGGCTGATTCATCAGCTGCGCCCCTACCTGGAGTACGACTGCCTTGCAACAGTGACTCATGCGCTGGTGACTTCCCGTCTTGACTTCTGTAACGCGCTCTACGTGGGGCTACCCTTGAAGACGGTCCGGATACTTCAATTGGTTCAGAATAGAGCTGCCAGGCTGCTGACGGGGACTGGACGTTATGTTCACATGACACCAGTTCTCCGTCAGCTTCACTGGCTCCCCATTGAAGTCCGGGCCCAATTCAAGGTGTTGGTAATGACCTATAAAGCCCTAAACGGCTTGGGTCCTGGTTACCTGAAGGAGCGCTTACATCCATATTTGCCCAGTCGCCCCCTGAGATCGGCGGGAGAGGCCCTTCTCCGGGAGCCCTCCGTGAGAGAAATTAGGAGGGTGGCTACTCGGAGAAGGGCTTTCTCAGCGGTGGCGCCTAAGTTATGGAATGCGCTCCCCAGAGAGGTCCGCCTGGCGCCGTCGTTATTTGTTTTTCGGCGCCAGGCTAAGACCTTTTTATTTAAGCAACATTTTAAATGCTAAATACAATTGAATTTTATCTGGCCAGGGCGGCTTATTTTATAATGTGAGTTTTAATTAAGATTATTTTATATGGATTTTAACTTGTTTTATCTATGTTGTAAGCCGCCCCGAGGCTTCGGCGAATGGGGCGGCATAAAAATGTTTTAATAAATAAATAAATAAATAAATTAAGGACTAGAAACTTGGTGTTTCCTTTTAACTGAAGGCTGCTATCCTTGCTCTTATTTTCAGCTATTAGAATGGATTTCCAGAGCAGAAAGTGCTCCCCTTATACTGAATCAGACCCTCAGGCTGAAAAAATTCCCAAGCACCTTAGGGCTTGAAGACCTCTAGCTAGGAACTTGGAGAGCTGCTGCCAGGCTGGCTGAGGACGATGGAGATTGCACTCCATCACATCCAAAGGGCACTGGGTCAGCAGAAACATGTGAAGATGCACAGAAATCTCAGCAGCCCGAAGACGTACCTTTTCAACATCTACCTTTTCGGACGTGGCTTCATCCGCCTCTAGGATGCTTTCGTCTTCCAGGAAGGGGTTGGTGGAGACAGCTGGGGCAGGGTCAGTTTTCTTCTAGCAGGGGAAAGGAAGTCCATTCAGAAAACTGACCCCAAATGCCCCTGGCTGGATTAGCCACGGATGTTAAGATTTATTTTGTTGAGTATGTGTCCAGGCCACCCGATAACCAGAGCTCTCTGGGCGATTCACAGCAGGACTCCCGCCACCTTTAGAAAAATACCTGGGGCCGAGGCAGCACAGGGCCTTCTCGGTGGCGGCACCCAGGCTGTGAACTCCCTCTCTGCTGCCCCCGGATACACCCCTTACCGCCACTGTGTCAGAGAGGGTGCAGCCAGAGAAGCGCTTGGCCAGCAGCCCCTCGAAGTTGGTCGTCCTCTGGATGGCGAAGAGAAGCAGCTTCACTTCGATCTCCCGGGCCCGTGTGCGCATGATCTTGGCGAGCTCCGTCCTACGGAAAGAGAACCTCAGGGCAGGCAGGCCACGCACGGCACCAGCCCTCATGGGCTTCCGGTGCCAGAGACAGGCCAGCTTTCCCATCACCTCAAAATCACTTTCGCATTTCTTGTTTTTCACAGCTCTCCCCTACCAGGCAATGCTTGCTCTGGTTTGTCGGAGTTTTATTTTAGGTTGCTGCACCTGCCTGAAAACCTGACACACCCCTACCCAGTTTCTAAAACTGCCTTCGGGGTTTCTTCTCTGGAGTTCACAAGCTGCAGGAAAGTGGTGAGTGTCTCATTTAATACGGCGGCGACATGAGTCTAAAGGACGTCATCAAGAGCAAAACGTAGCGTTCTCTCCTGCACACAGCCCCCTTTCCGAAATATGCTCAGCAACCACCCTTCTATGACACTCGGTGGCCTTCTGAAATAAAGCGCTACATGTACCTTAATTACATGCTCAGTTGAACTGAGCTCAGTTGCTCAAAAGTGTGTCTCAGAGTCTATCTAAAGCTGAGCAGAACTGTATGAACAGATACCAAGAAAAAAGCCTTCTCTGCACATCGTCCCATCTATGAACTGCCCTGCGGGAGGAAAATCCATGGGGCATCTGGAGTCCAAGTAGCTTTCAACCCCTGATCTGCTGTCTTGTTTATCGGCTATTCGTTTATTTCCAGCCATCCAGAAAAAAGGCTTGAAACTCTAAGCTCCAAGACTTTCCCCCCCATCTAAACGTGCATGGGATTGCACTTCTGACGTGCCGGTATCTTGCTGTGCCTCCCCGGTACACGCAGCCCCGCGCACCTCGTGATGTGGCAGAAGTCCACGGCAATCCGCTCCGTCATGCACCATTCCTGGGGAAACATGTGTCCGTATTTCTCCTCGTAGTCCACCAGCTGGCGCTTGACCCAAGCGTAGCGTCGGTCGACCTTATCCAGCCAGGCAACCTGGAGACGAAACGGGAGGGAAGGCAGCCATTGCTCGAGGGGGCCGGCCTTCCGGAAGGTTGTTCCCCTACCTCCCCTCCGCAGCTCACCAACGCTGGCCGGAACCGGACTGGGAACTGGATCCAGACCTAGCTGAGTTGGGTCCTAGGTCTCTCAGTCGCTTGATCTCTTGGGGTTTCCAAATATGCCCTCCGCCCCCAGAAAGGTTGAGGATCTCTATGTACAGGTCAAAGAACTGAGGGGCGAAGGAAAGCCAAGTGCCCAGAAGGGCCAGATGTAGGCACTAACTTCCACTAACTGTGGCTGGAAGATAGCTGAAAAAAGTAAAGTAAAATAGCCGTCCCAAGGCTATGTAGCGATGGGGACGGCATATAAAAACTTTAAATAAATAAATAAAATTAAAATAAATTAAAATAAAATAAAATAAAGAAATCCAAATAGTTGCTGTTGATTTCCAAGACTGCTAGCTTGAGGCTTGCCTTCCGTGGAGGGCACTCCAAACTCTTCCCGGGCCACTTGGGGGGTGGGGGGAATGGCCCTCCAAATGGGGCTGAACGCCAACCCCCACCTGCCCCAAGCAGAGGGATTATGGGAGCTGAAGTCCAAAAATATCTGGAAAGCCGGAGGCTCCCCAGCCACGGTAACGGCCCCATGCGCCGGGGAACGGACCCCAGGGCGACGCCAAAGACCAAAGCTCCGCGAAACGTCGGTGGCCTTGGGGAGGCAGGGACGGCCACCTACATCTTGGTTCTCTTGAAAGAGCACGAGGTACTCCGACAGGTGCTGCTTGATGAACTTCTTGATGATCTCCTGCTTGATCCGGGGGTCCAGGACGTTTGCGACCAGACACGCGTCCCGCAGGACGTTGCTGGGCCCTCCGGCCCGCTGCCGAGAGACGGACGACGAGGGTGAGAGGACGGCGCAAACGGGCCGGGGTCCCCCTCCTCCTGCAGCCGCTTTACGGAAGGGGCTTTGCGCCTCGCTGCTGGCCCACCTTGCCCAGTGGCGCCAACACAGAGCGGCAGCCACGGCTGTCCGGGCATCCAGCCAGCGGCACCTTCCCTTGCTTGGCCTGGAGATGTGGCAGATCAAACCAGGGCCCAAGCAGGGGCTCCACCACTGCGCTACAGTCCTCTCTCGGGCCCAGAATTGCCTGCTCGGGCTGGCAGCCGCTTTCGGCGATCTCAGCCTGGTGCCTTCTACTTTCCCCCATCTGCTCCGGGACTACGATCCCATTCTCCCCAGCCAGCATGGCCAACTCAAGCAAGGCCGGGCCACCGGAAGCTTTCCAGGGACGCAGGGGAGCTCAGCGATGGAGCTCCGGTTGTGCAGGCAGGAGGTACTGGGTTCAAACCCTTGGCTACCCCTCTCAGAAAACTCAAGAGCGAGGGGCAGAAAAAAGGCTCATCCGCCCAGCACGCGAAGCCGGCTGGAGCAGACGGCACTGGACAAGATGGCCCGGACTAAGGGGCTCCCTATGATCTGCTCCTGAGGACTGGGGCAATTCTGGTTGCTCCTGGGGGCGAGAAAGGGGGACGTAGCCGCCGGGTTGCAGAAATCCTCGTCTGGCAAAGGATCAGGGCTTGCGGGAACGAAGGACGGGTGCCCGACCGCCAAAAGAGCAGTGAGCCGGCTCTTTTCTTTTGTCGGAGGACAACAAAGACGAGGATTTCATTAAAACACACGGACACGCGCCTACCTTCGTGCCTTGGGAAGGAAAGGCTTCTTCGAAGTCTGCCAGGATCTGCTGCCCCAGCTCATTCTGGGCAGCCCTCACCCTGCCGGAGAAGGAAAAAGGGGTAGTGTCACCGTTCGGGTCGCCAATCGACCTTTTGCCCCCAGGCTGCAAAACCCACACAGGCAGAACTCACAGGCAAGCAAAGGTCAGATGGGCCTTTAACCCAAGCGGTTAATGTGAGAGGCGTATCCCTGGAAAGCGCGTTGTCCTGTTTGTCTGCCCCCTCTTACATCGCGACAAAATACCTGCTTGCCTATGAAAAGCTAGCATCTCAGGGAAAAAATCTTTCTCCATGACCTGCTAGCTTTCCATGAACAGAAAGTCACTCTTGTATTAAAGCAAGGCTTCTGGCCTCAGTCAGACAGGGAAATCCAGCCTGCCTGAAATCTTGGCCATATATCCGATAGCTCCTTCCCTGGCCCTACCCACTTCCCCCAGACATTTAGCAGATTGGCGCATCTGTCCAGGTCCCCTGCCCCCCACTCTAAAAGGCTGAAATGCTTCTCCTGAGGAAGCGAGAGCTTCCAGCTCAAACACGCCGGTGCTTTTGGAATCTGGGCCCTCCTGCGCCTACCTGTGGTTCTACCCAAGCCCTGAGGGGTTCCTCCAAAATGGTGTTTGGTTAAAAGAAGGTCGGCAGCCCGGCTCGCAGGCCCAGCGGGAAACCCAGTCCAATTCTGCAGCCCCGACTGGCACCATCCTCCCAGGCTGGGGTTCTGTGGAGCCTCAGAACTGGCCCTGACCGGGCCAAAAGCAACCACCTTTGCTTCTCCACACCGTGGCAAGCTTCCGCTTGCCGCCTCTTACCTTTCCGAAAGCTGCCGGATCTGCAGGATCGCCATATATTTGCTGAAGTGCTCCAGCACATTCACAACGCCCTGTAGAAGGTTGGCCACCTCCCCGTATTGCCTCCTCCTGGTCATGGCCCTGTAGTTGCAGGAGAAGCGGAAGTTAGAAGGGCAGGCGCCAGGCAGAGCTGGCTGGGGAATGCTGGGACTTCTCTCTGGATAAACATATGTAAAATCATACCCTAAACCTACTCATTACTAGCATCTGAGAACTGGTTTCTCTTTCTTTCCTTCTGCTTTGGCATGCCCTTGCTCAGTTTCCATCTGCTGCCCACCTCCTTCCAAGCGTGCCTCCTGAGGACTAGAAGCTTGCTGTGTTTTGTTTTTAATGGACACCAGGATTCCCTCCCAGCTGAATTCCCCCACATCCTGCCCCGACTGGCCTGCATGCTGCTTACTCAAGTGAATCGACACCACCGGCCAGCATGTGGAGATGGTTCAGCGTTGTGATGGAGGTGGTCAGGTGGCGTTTGGCATGGTCCAGCTGCTTGATGTCGCGGGTGATTTCTTTAACCTGTTAAGATTTTTAAAAGAAGATCAGATTCACAGGCTCTTAGCAGAGAAGAATTCAAGAAACTGCAAAGGCCTAGAATATTCACATATCAGACTATGAGTTCTGGTTATTTATTTTATTTATTTATTTATTTATTTGATTTATATCCTGCCTTTTTCCTCAAAGGGCTCAAGGCAGCTTACATCATTCTCCTCCTTCATCTTATCCCCACAACAACCCTGTGAGGTAGGCTGGGCTGAGAGTCTGTGACTGGCCCAAAGTCACCCAGTGGGCTCCATGGCTGAGCGGGGACTCGAACCCGGATCGTCTGCGTCCCAGTCCCATGCTCTCAACCATTGCACCACACTAGTTATGGGGTAAATTCCAGACAGAATTAATGCCAGCCAGAAGAAAGGGGGAAAAATACAATTTTCTTTATCACGTGAAAAGAATAACCATTTTGGGAGAGGCAGTGTGGTGTAGTGGTTAAGCGCATGGGACTGGGACTCAGAGGATCTGGGTTCGAGTCCCCACTCAGCCATGGAGCCAACTGGGTGACTTTGGACCAGTCACAGACTCTCAGCCCAACCTACCTCACAGGGTTGTTGTTGTGGGGATAAGACTGAGAGCAGGTGGAGGAGAATGAGGTAAGCCGTTTTGAGTCTGTTATAAGAAAAAACCAGGATACAAAACAAATAAATACATTAATGCACCTGTGTGGAAAATACACCTATCAGCAAAAATGAATTTTGCACGCAGTTCAGGAAAAGCTTTGATTTTAACAATCACTGGCCTGTTAAAGCTGCTCTGGGGCTAGAAATCCACCCAGCGACAGATTTCTGCAACAGGTAAGACCAGGTACCAACAGAGAAAAGGCAGAAAAAATGGCTGTAGAAGTTATAAGAACGGACAAGAAACTCACCATCTGCTCTGATTTTTCCGCTTTGTCCTTGATGTCTTTAATTTTACCAAAGAGCTGCTGAATAGCTTTCTGGGCTTCTTCAAGGGCCTAGAAAAAGGAAGAGAGAGGGGTCCTGAAGCTTGCTTAGGAGGTCAGAGGTCCTGGGATTCCCCACATGTCCCAGCCAGTGAAGCGTCAATTTTCTACCCTGAGCTGAAAACAAAACACAGCTCCTTTTGCCACAGATTTAATACGGTTCCTCTCTCCCACGGTTCCAGAGGGTGTCAGTACATGCTGACTCCTAATCCCCTTTTCCTGGGAGGCAGAAGCAGGGAAACGGTTTCATTTTCGCATCAGAAGTGGTGCTTGTCTACAAAATGAAGGAGGAAGGCCAGCGCGAGGCAGTAACCTCCAACACGCGTTTGAACCTGCTGAAAGTCTTAAGGATTCAGCGTGGCTTCCAGAAACTACCCTGGTTTGAGGGCACTGGAAAATTCGCTGCAGTATCTGCTGAACCTTAACAACCCCTTGCTTTTCGTCGAGCAAAACTCATCCCCGACAAAACTCAAACACACCTAGCCTGAAAGACACCGCCCTTCTGAACTGGAGAAAAACCAAGTGGCTAGCACTTTGGGTGAAGCGGGAAAATTCCAGGAAGACCGCCATGTTGAGCAAAACCAAAGCATCTATTGTCTGGGCTTGAATGCATGGCGGGGAGGGGGGAGAAAATGCCCCCCGGCAAGCGACTTTAAAGCCAATAAAGTTTATATCAGAATAAAACTGGGTAGCCCCTTCAGGTGTCGTGAAGTTTTCTTCTTGCTTACAGTGAGAAGAGTAAAGTGGGAGAAAGTGGTCAGAAGGAAGTGACTGGGATTCTTCTCACAACAAACGAACTCCAGACGTATCAAACACGCTGGCATGTAATACAACACTGTGTGGAAAGGTCGGCTGAGAGAGCAACAGGGGAAAAGTTGCCGGCCCAAGCAATTCACCAAAGACAGGTATTGCCCGTGAACCAGAGGCCAGCATCCTAAGCTGCCTCAGTGGTAGGATACCGGGCACCAGAAGATGGATTGAAAAGGAATAAGGACCGTCAGCGCTTGTCCTAATTGGAGTGTGTCCACCTGGCTCCAGAAGAAGGGTGGGAAAGCTGGGCCATTCCCCCAGCCTTTCTGAACACCTTTTTTTCCTCTCCCCTCAGCATCGCCCTTTCCTTGTGTGACGTCTCTTTCGGCTTGCTTTAAACATGTAAAGCGTACAAGCGAGAGATGTCTTGCTTAGCGGCTGACTGCGGAGATCTGAATTCGAAGCAGGGCACCACACCAGCTCTCAGCATGGGAGACACTCAGAACTGGAGAATGGCTGAAACAGTAGCAGCTTCGCTTAGCTTTGCCTCCCACCGCCAACGAAAACAAGAGGAATTGCTCAGACCGGATAAATTTTTCCAGGCTAGATTCATTCAGATTCCTTTCTCGTCTCCCTTCTTTTTCCTAGAACTTATCTGCTCACACTAGGGAAAAGCCTTGGCAGCAATTATCAACCCATTTAGACAACGTAAAAATCCCAAAGCCACACTTTCCACTCCAAAGCCAGGCAGCTTAAAACACAGGCTTTGAAGGGGACAAGTTCTGCTACCACTGGTAAGAAACAATGTTTTTGGCCGTTGCAAATGAACAGGACAGAACAGAATGGGAAATTGTCCTACCCTATCAGCTGAGAACTCTTTCCACCACCACACTGTACCCAACAGTATTTCTGATTGAAAGGAACCACCGCAGAATAATTGGTGTTTTCAAGAACAGAAAAAGAAAGCATGCACGTGTGCCTGTGAAGACTGCAGACAGAGGAATCGATTAAGTGGAAAATCATTTTTTTTAAAGAGATTTAGTTTAGTAGCGGTTGTATTAAAGCCAGTAATAAACACGGGGGGTGGGGGGGGGGAGCCTGCCTGGGGCAATTTAGCAGGCACCTTAGATCACAGTGCATTTGGGATACAGGCGGCCAATGCCAACTTCAGGCCCAGTGTATTTTGCACAGGCTTCTGGGTGACTTCCCCGTTGGTCGCCATTGGTGAGTAGAACGTCTCCACCAGGTGAAATGGCAGGAAAGCGTCTATTTCTCTCCCCCCCCCCCCCAATAATTAACAAAGATGCTTGTCCTATGGTTACAGGGAGCTTAAACTTATCTGCTACAGTTCAAGCTGTCAGAGGTCAGTAGGTTTATTTCATTCATTCAGTTGCTCCCACCTTCCCCGTGTACGGCAAGCTTACGACCCAGGGCATGACAGGAGTTTGGCGCACCCGGGGCCCTGCCAGCGCCACCACCAAGTCAGTCCAACGGAGGAGAGTTCCCCAAGCCGCACTCTGAAGCGAACGGCAACCGGGGTGGGCCCCTTTCAACCCAAAGGCCAGGCTTCCATTTTGGGGAGACCCTCACAGGCCAGAACTCCAATAAAGTCAGACCGTGCCTGCCGGCGAGGTGTGCTGGCACCGATTCAGAGGCTTAATGGCAGAGGGAGCGCTCTCTCGAACCCAAGGCCAGCAGAGAGAAGTGCTGAGTCCGCAGGTTTCCACCACAGCGATCTCAGCTATTTTCTCCACGCCGCACTGAAGTGAAATTCTATCCTGGGGCGAGGGGGAAGGCAGGGGGGAGTGGGTCGGCAGCCGGACTCGCTTTCCACAGGCATCGGGACGAGCCCAGTGCAGTGGCGGATGGGATCTGCCCCCCGGAGCTCAGCCAAGGTGTCTGGAGCGGCCCAGAGAAAGCTGTGTTCTGCCCCGCCGAGGAATGTCCCGGCACTGTTTCCCACTGTTTCCTCCCTGCAAAGGGGCCGGTAAAGCGATGCAGGTTCTTTTTCCCTTTTTCATTTAGAAGAAAAAAAAGGATTGTCCACAGATGTTGTGCAAGGCAAAACAACCCCCCGCCCGCCCTCCAACCCGGTATTAAAAACACATACCAGAAGGTGGGGAAGCCAAACGATGCTGAGCTATTTTAAGACCTTTCTGCGGGCTTGGAGGAAAATTTGAGGGCCGTGCCCTTCCTTTAAAAAAAGAAAACGCTCCCACACAGAGAGAGACACTCGGAATGTTACCACGGCCTTTGCCAGCAGCCGCCTCTGCGGTGCCGGAAGCCAAAATCCAAAGCAGGACGGTACCCAAAGACGGTTACGCAAAGTATGCGCTCATCGGTGTCTTTCGCACCCAGCCGAAGGAACCTGCAAGTTCAGTCTCTCTCCCACGCCTCCTGTGCACACAGGCGTTTGAGCGTCCATCACTGCGGGGCAAGACTCCCGATGGCCGCACACTTAATCGGATGCTTGTTCTGTGCAGGATGCGTGGTGCACCACCAGATCACAGGAAGCCCAAATTGCGTTGCGGCAGCTCAGGATGAGGTGCTTCAGGCAACCGTTGGCAGCCCCTGCGTGGGGACAGTACGGCAGATCTGTTTGGACCCACTTGAGGGGCGCACAATGGGGGCTGTGGACTTTCCTATGGACTCACAGAGGAGCCCCCCAAAACCAGCAGCTCTCCCAGAACGTGCCTCCTCCTGCCCTCGGAAATCACGGGCATGCCACACGGATCGGGAAGGGGCTGCTGTCTGGAGACCCGGCCACCCCCTCCCTGGGCAGAGAAAGCCCCGATTAGCCACCCGGTTTTTAAAAGGGGGAGGTGAGGTTGTGCAGCACAAATGCCCCCCCAGGCCCCCAGCTCTAGCCCGCCTGTCCAAACGGGAGCAGACCTCTTGCAGGGGCCTCTTTCGCCTAAGAAAACATTTTGAGCATTCCTGATTTTGGCCAAGCTGCTCGCTCGCTCCGGCAGGCAGACAAAGGCTCTTTCACTTCAACTGGGGGGGGGGGGGGGTGGAGG